TGGAAAAAAAAAAAAAAAAAATATATATATATATATATATATATGGACAGCTGAACTGTTTGTTCCTCATTTCATTTAAATGTAACATGTAGGGCTGGGCTCAGTGGCTCAGCCTGTAATCCCAGCACTTTGGAAGCCTGAGGCGAGTGGATTGCCTGAGCCCGCAGATTCGAGACCCACCCGGGCAACTTGGCAAGACCTCATCTCTACAATAAATCAAAAATTAGCCAGGGGTGGTAGCCCACACCTGTAGTTCCGGCTACTTGGAAGGCTGAGGCGCAAGGATCACTGGACCCAGCATGTCGAGGCTGCGGTGGCCGGGAGTGGGCCACTGCCTTCCAGCCTGGGTGACAGAGTTAGACTCCAACTCAATAAAATAATCGTAACATTTAGGCAGGGAGCTGTGGCTCAGGCCTGTAATCCTAACACTTTGGGAGGCTGAGGCAGGAGGATCTCCAGCCAGGATTTAATGGAAGTTCCTCAAAGAAACAGTTTTCTCGCAAGGACTGATACCACTATCGAAAGACATGTAATTCAGGGCATTGTCTAGTTCATTCTTCAGGCAAGATCCTCTGTTGCCCAGGAGTTCAAGACCACCCTGGGCAACATGGCAAGACCTTGTCTCTACAAAGTAATCAGAAAAGTTCCTCGGGAGGCTGAGATGGAAGGATCACCTGAGCCCAGGAGGTGGAGGCTGCAGTGAGCCGTGATTGTGCCACTGCCTGGGTGACAGAATGAGACCCGGACAAATACATACACACATACATCCTTTCGTTTATGGATGAGTTATTAAAATAGACACTAGTTACTTTTTCATCCTGATAGTTTGTAAAACTGCATTAAACGTTTTCCTTTAGGTTGTCAGTGGTGGGAAACTGCCAGGGGAGGGAGGGGCACACCTTCTCCACAGGGGTACCTGCGTAATGAACATTTGTAGGCCTAACCCTGAGTTGTACCCCACATCTTTAGAATAAAGAATTTGAGAAAGAAAAAAAAAACATTTTCCTTCATTCACTCCCCCATTTGCTAGCCACATTTTGTGGAAATGGCAACAATGTATCAGAACCACTTTGGCTCACATGAGCTGGTTTCTGAGGCCCTCTAGTCCTTTCCATGGCCCCAAGGCTTTGCTTTTGTTCCTGTGGTATACTGTGTGTTAAAACGTATCACAGCAATGCTCAGCACCGTCCATGAGACCCTTGTCTATCTTTGATGCGTGATCATTCTGTCCACCTTAGGCTGCAGCTGGTTTTTAATGTCAGTAGAGCTTCATGCTTTTAAAATTTAAATGTACAGCATAATAGCTAGAAACTTAGCAAATGTTTGCATCAACTGTCCTAGAAACTAGCAGAGTAAACATTATGTGGGAAAAAAAAATATATATAAACAGATATGGATGTATGCACCACTCACTTCCCACGTGGTAGTGTTTCAGAACAGGACCTGTCGTGGCATTTAACCTCGAGTGATAATTTCCTGCTATAGCCTTGGAACCTAGTTAGTATTTTGTTAACTTCTTGAACTTTTGTGGGGTTTTTTATGGGGGAGGTGGTCTTATTTCTAATTAATGAAACTTTCAGAATGGATTTTTTTTTTTTTTTTTTGAGTTGGAATCTCACTCTGTCGCCCAGGCTGGAGTGCAGTGGCGTGTTCTCAGCCACTGCAGCCTTGACCTGCTGTGCTCGGGTGATCCTTCCGCCTCAGCCTTCCAAGTAGCGGAACTATAGGCACGCACCACCATGCCCGCCAATTTTTTGATTTATTGTAGAGATGAGGTCTCGCCAAGTTGCCCAGGCTGGTCTCAAACCCGTGGGCTCAGGCAGTCCTTTTGCCTCTGCCTCCCAAAGTGCTGGGATTACAGGCGTGAGCCACCATGCCTGGCCGGATCTATCTTTTTAAAAAACCCACAAACGTTGTTATTGTCCTTAATGAGTGAATTATTGCCGATATAAATGATTTGAAGAAACCGTTTGTGTGACTCTGGTAACTCATTAGAGCATCATAAGCGCTAGAAATACCTTCAGGTTATGTTCTACTTTTTGCACTGTTTGGGATCTTGACTAAACTTTTCTTCTGCTAGCTTTTAGAACACGAATTCTTTATGACTGGATTTCTTGATATACAAATCTCCACCTTTCCTCTGATCTTCTATTAATTTTGACATGATTATTTACAACATTTACGAAATCAGGCCTGGCTGTTCCGCCCCGAGCCAGATCCGTGCATTTCTGGAAACATTATTCACGTGTCACTACTCTGGACAAGGCAAGTCATGTGCCATGGGCCACAAAGATGAAGGAGACCACAGGCCCCAGTGTCACAGAGAGATTGTAACAGTCCTGTGTGAGAAGGGGGCACACGCCTTAAAATGGCTGCCGACCAGAAGGTCACAGATTATTGTTTCAGACATCTTCTTGACCAATTTTTTGGCATAAGTCATTGAGGCTAAGGAGACTCTTAGCTTAAAATGTTACAAAACAACAGAAACAGGCCCGTGTGGTGGCTCAATCCTGTATTCCCAGCACTTTGGGAGGCTGAGGTGAGAGTATTGCCTGAGCCCACAGGTTCGAGAACAGCATCAGCAACTTGGCGAGACCTCATCTCTACAATAAATCAAAATTCAGCCAGGCCTGGTAGCGCAGTCTGTAGTTCTGCACTGATGCGGAAGGATCGCTGAAGTCCTGCAGGTCGAGGCTGTGGTGACTGTGAGTGTGCCACTGCACTCCATCCTGGGTGACGGAGTGAGACTCTGACTCAAAAACAAAAAAAACCCAGAAACATAAGAATACACAGCCAGGTACAGTGGTGTGTGCCTGTAATCCCAGTACTTTGGGAGGCTGAGGCAGGGGGATTACTTGAGGCCAGGAGTTTGCGACCAGCCTGGGTAGCATAGCAAGGCCTCGTCTCTACAAAAAAAAAAAAAAATTAATTCACTGAGTTTGATGACACATTACTGTAGTCCCAGCTACTTGGGAGGCTGACACTTGAGGACT